TTGCCTTGTCGTTACAGAATTAGCATGAAACTGTTGTTGTTGTTGTTGCTGCTGCTGCTGTTGTTGCTTTGTTTGATGGTGCTGTTCGTGTTGATGCTGTTGTGAGTGGTGGTGGGGTTGTTGGCCGCCATGGAGAGCGATGGGTTGTAGCTGGGCCTGGTAGTTATGCGCTGAGTGAACTTGGTGATAGCTGATTTCTTGTTGGTGGCCCATATGCTGTTGCGGCTGTTGGTGGTGCTGCATCTGGACTGACGGCTGCGTTGGCTGTTGGGCTCGAGCACTCCTGCGCATCACCGTGGCTCCCGAGTTGGTTTGCGGCGGGGCCATTGAGATGTTGTGTGTTTCCGAGGCCATAGCCTGGCCGGCATGTGGAGCAGCCGTCGAGTCGGTCACGGCGGTGGAACAGTTGTTGGTGCTGCTGCTGCTGCTGCTTGTTGGTCCTGCAGTTGGTCTGCGCAGGTTGTAGCCAGACGGAGCGGGAGGCTGCTGGTTGGCCGGCATGAGGAGGCCTTGTGCCGGCGTCAGACCGGCACCCGAGCCAGCTGTTGCCAGGCGAGTTGTGCCCTGTGTTGGCAATTGGCTGCGTGGCCCGGCAACACTGGTCGTCCGGTAGCTGCTCTGCTGTAGAACGGCCTGCCGGCGCGTCTGCACCAGCGAGCCGGCTGTTCCGGCCACGAAGCCGGCCGAGGCTAGCGCTGCCTGGCCAAAGCCGGTGGCCGACCTCTGCCCCGGAGCCGGGGTCAGTGAGTGACTCTGCGCCTGAGCTTGCATTTGTTGGTGTCGAGTGAGCATTCTGCCCTGAGAAGCCCCGTTGGTTGGCTGGTTGACCATCGAGCCGACAGCACCGTTCGAGGGTCCAGGCCCATGAGGTCCCGCGACGGAAGGCAGAGAGTCGGGCGCGGGAAAACTGGTCGCCGCCAGGCCACAGGATAAATAGTTTGGGCTCATGCTGCCCGACAGTCCGTATCCAGTCTGTCAAAATTGGGCAAGACAAGAGTATGCGTGCATCAACAACGCATAATATATATACACACACACACACACATACACACATGCTATACCATAGAATGTGATTTGAGTAAATGCCTGGCCTTCCTTGAAATTCACATCTGCTCTCTGACCCAGGGGCACTGG